TGTAGGTGACGGAAACGGCTGTGGCTTTAGGAGCCGGGCCAGATTTATTCTAACAGGAAAGAGGAAAAGGGAAACATTGTTAACAGGGAGGAAAAAATGTATTGGCTTTCTAGCCTTTGGCTCTTACTCCAGGCAGAAAAGCAGTGTGTGTGTGTCTCTGTGTTTGTCAGTGGGAGAGTGAGGACTGATTTCTCAGGCTCCTACTGCCACGTTACTCTCACAGGAGAGACGGCTGAACTTGCCATCTGCAAACTCTGAAGGCCACAGTATTCAGACCGTGACAACAGCATCCTGGCCTGTACCAGCAATAGTGTGGCCAGCAGGAGCAGGGAAGTGATCGTGCCCCTGTGCTCGGCACTGGTGAGGCCGCACCTCAAATCCTGTGTTCAGTTTTGGGCCCCTCACTACAAGAAGGATGTTGAGGTGCTGGAGCGTGTCCAGAGAAGGGCAACGGGGCTGGGGAGGGGTCTGGAGAACAAGTCTGATGAGGAGCGGCTGAGGGAACTGGGGTTGTTCAGTCTGGAGAGCCTCATGGCTCTCCACAACTACCTGAAAGGGGGTTGTGGTGAGGTGGGTGTTGGTCTCTTCTCCCAACTAGCTAGTGATAGAGTGAGAGGAAATGGCCTCAAGTTGCGCCAGGGGAGGTTTAGATTAGATATTAGGAAAAATTTCTTCCTAATATCGAGACCACGAGAGAGAGTGGTCACGCGTTGGAACAGGCGGCCCAGGGAGGTTGGTGGAGTCACCATCTCTGGAAGTATTCAAAAAACGTGTGGATACAGGGCTTCAGGACATGGTTTAGGGGGCATGGTGGTGTTGGGTTAATGGTTGGACTTGATGATCTTGAAGGTCCTTTCCAACTTTAGTGATTCTGTAATTCTGTGATTTATTTTATCACAAGGTCAAAGACTAGACCACTCGACAGAGCCCAGAGAGTCTAGGAAACCTCCATCTTTCAAGATATTCAAAATTAATCTGAGCATCTTGAGTTAGCTTTGAGGTTGGTCCTGCTTTGGGCACGGGCTGGAATAGTCAGCTCCAAAGTCCCTTGCAACCTCAATCTCTTGTGAGTTTGTGACACTTTCAGGATAAAATCACCCTCAGAAGAAGCCTTCTCTGGGAATATCTTGGTGAGGACCTGTCCATGCCAGGTCAAGTCTAGCTGCATGGAGGTAAAGAGAATTTCCAAATCTCTAGCTCTGCAAATTTGGCAGCCAGTCTCGAAACAACTCATGTGGCTGATGTTTTGCAGGGAATTTCTGTCTCCAAACATCTCAGAGAGAGAAGAGAGGAAAGAACCCCTGAAAGTAATTCTCCATAGGGACATCAGTCTGTGGGGCTAGTTCATGCCACCAGCAGACTATAACCAGAGTCCCTGCACTGAAGTAGGCCAACAGCATCTCATGTATCTGCTTAGTGTGGCAGGCTTGGGTGCACCTGGGCCAGTCTGGCCACAGGGCAGCAGTCTTGGTGAGGAACACTCTGCTACATGAAACCACAGGGTTACTGCCCCAGGAGAGCACAGCATGGAAGAAATTCCCTTACCATTGTTTTCAATGACTTTGGTTTGCTTCTTGTTGTTATCCTGTTGGATGCCGTGGATCTCTACCGTTACCTTAGGATCAACAATGGAGTTTTTGCTTTTGTTCACCTTGGGCAGCTGCTGACCAGAGATGATCTGTGGAGGAAACAGAGGAAGAGGTCAGGACATCATCAGGAGTGGGGTCTCCCTGGCAAACTTCCCTCTCCTTCTCCAGGAGTGCAGGACCTGTTGTGACTAGCCTGTCTTTCAGAGACAGCGTTGTGACATCCTTCAGAGGAAGCTGTCATGAGCCAAAGCACCTAAGGAACATTGCTCCAGCCCACCAGCTGTCTAGGGGACAGGTAACTTTTCTAGCTGTCCACACAGTGATCAAATGATACTTGGAAACAACAGTGGTGACTGTTGACTGCATGTCTGCCTGTATGTTTCTGTAACGACAGTGAATATTGTCCTTAACCTCTCCTATCGCCGAACATTAAACAGGTAAGTCTCTGGAGGATGAGAGCCCATGCAGGACTGAAGCAGAGACCCCAGCGGTGGGAAGTGAGTAGGGTTACGACAACATTGCCCAGGTGGGATGAGGAGAAGGAGAAAGTACAACCTATACACCCCCCAGAAGGTGGATGCTACTGAGAGATTTTCTGACTTCTATTCTTACTTTAAGCAGAAGTTTCTTCTTTGTCCCCCATGTTCCTTCTGTGATGGATTTTGGATTGAATTTGGTTTGCTCATCCCGGAGGAATTCCGGCTTTAAGACATACCCAGAGAACCCATTGTCCTGGAACCGACCCTGGTAGACATCCATTTCTGTGCCTGCTGTCTGGAAATTTAGGGCAACTGCAACATAAATAAATAAAATCAGTCACTTTCAGATAAATCAATGGGAGTCTTTTTATAATAATTCTGTTCACAGGAAATTGCACTTCATGGACATAAACATTGGCTTTTCCATGCTTCAAAGAGCACTGATAAACTCTGACCCTCGCAGCCTGCTACCCCTGAGGATTTCTTACATTCATAGATGTTAAAGACAGGAGGAGCCATTACAGCCATCTCAGTTGTCCTCCTGCCTGCCACAGGGTCAAAAAGTGTCCTGCATTGAATTTTGTCACCTGGTTGGGCAACTGCATCTTTCAGAAGAACCTATTCGTTTCTATGCTGAAGGAGTTATCTCCTGCAGTGAAGCCAGCAAATCCTTCTCAGATTGTTTTTCTGGCTACTTAGCCTCATTAAAAAACCTCCTTTCCAGCCCAGATATGCCTATTTCCATTTGCCATCCTGAGGGCCATTGATGCCCTTGCTGGTTAGACTAGAGAGCTCCTTGCTGTCTGAACTCCTCATGCAGTCGTACGGAAGCTGTGATCAAATCATCTCTTTCTTGTCCCCTGCCCAAAATAGATCAAGCCTCACTGGTGTCCTAACACCAGGTAGATTTCTTGTATTCTTTCCAATTTGCCACTGTCTTTTCAAAAGCATTGATGTCAAACCTGGAAGCAGTCTCAGTGAACAGTCTCACTAATACCACAAAGGGAGTGGCGCATGGATCCCAGCACCTCCTCAGTACTCCCTCGATTTCTCAAGGGTGATGCTAAGCTCTTTAGAAACTTTTAAGACACCTCTAGGACAGACTGCAACTTATCCTGGTCCTGGGTCTTACATAACCTGTAATACCTGATGGCCAAAAGCATTTTAAGGCACTCCCCTTTTTTCCACCTGCAAGCAAGACTTTAATAACTGCAGTATACTGGTTTTACTGGGAGTTGCAGGTACTCAGGGCTTCTGAAAAAAACTTATTTTGGGCACCCAAACTGAATTCAGGTCAGATAAGGCATGTAGCTCGGGCTTTAGTGTACCCAAAAAGACCTGATGTTGCCTCCCAGGGACTCTCGCGAGGCCAGACTCAGTGCTAGGGAAACAGGCCGATGGGTGGTACTTGTGCCCCTCATGGGGGCTGCAGCACTCAGCAAGTTCCTATGCTGCCAGGCACATCCAGCCCATGCAGGTCCACATGGCTGGGGGCCAGGGAGCCCTGCATCTGCAGGTTCTTGTCTGGCTGGGCCACACAGGCACACCTGGGACATCTCCAACATCCAGTATCACCAAGAGACCCAAGCATGTCATCTGCCCACTTACCGGTGCACCAGGTGTCCTGGATGAGAGCTACAACATAATTCACTTATCAGGCTCTGAGACCCTTGTTTTCATCAAATCTCTGAGACATCAGGGGCCTTAATGCCCTGGGAGTAAGCATGATGTGCTGCTGTGACTGCAGGGAACAGTTCAGGCCACAGCTTGGCCCTTATGGTTATGGCCTTGCTGTAGGGCTCAAGAGAGCTGAGTTTGATTTACATCTCTGCCAGAGATTTCAGCACACTTTTCAGTAAGTGACTGTAACTCCTGGTTCCCTCCTCCTTTGTTAAATGGCAGTAACTCTGCTTCCAGTGAAATGGCAGGGATGTACACATTAATGTGCAGGAAAGGCTCTCCTAACGGTTTTGAGGTGGGCCAGAAAACGGTCTATGAGAAGTCATTGAGCATTGGCTGAAAAGCTGATCTCTCCCAGTGACCACTGAGCCTCTCTGCCTGCAAATGGCTTGAGATCACACATCTACCTCAGTTGAAGCCCCTCCATAGCCAGGTCATGGGCGACCCAGGCAGTCTGACCCTCTCCAACCTCTCAGTTGCACCCACCGATCTGGCAGCCAACGTTCCACAAGTCGATGGGGTTGTAGTTGGAAGAATCTGTCCTCCAGCCTGCAGGGTAGATCCGGCTCAGGTGCCTGATGTTGTGATGAATAAAACTGGTTCCTACAAAATAAAAGAAAATGGCCCTTTCAGTGATGGGGGCTACTTTTAGCTCTTCTTGATGCTGCTGTATATAATGCTCCCCTGCCTAGTGGGTGTGGCTGAATGTAAACTACCTGTATGAAATGCCCTTCTTGGTAACAGACTCTATGATATTAAGTTATTCCCACTGTCTCTTAGTGACATGCATGGCCAAAGAGATCATAATCCATGTCTTTCAGGATGCCTTTTCCTCATGCTTAACCACCGCTAGCTGTCCCTTTACAGGGAACTGGGACAGACGATGGCCTTTTGCCAGGGCAGAACATACATACCAGACTCCTGGGCTAGTTTCAGAGCTTTGCTCTCTGTGAATGATGACATCTCGTAGAAAGCCCGAGGATGGCTGGGGTCCTCAAAGCCATTGAAATGGATGCTCTTACAGTAGACAACTGTGTCTGACAGCTCCTTGGCCAGCTTCAAGGTGTCACTCTAAAAGCAGGAGACGAAGAGGTTTGGGGGTGTTTCTGCAGTCATACTCAAAAGTATTTATCATATTTTGCCTAGGACCCCTGGGGCTTCTCTTCTCCACCATCTTCACATGAAAAGGATGCACACTATCAACACTCAGTGGCACCCCTATGCAGCAAGAATAGAAAAGGGGTAGGCTGCCCTTGCCACATCCCTTGACCTGCATGGAGACTGCTTATCCCTCCTCCCAGATCATCACTGCCCTCTCAGGCCCATCCTGGCCTGTCCAATGATATCACTGACTTCCCAAGTGTTACTACCAAGAATATTTCATTTCATCTGGACCATCCCTCCTTCTGCATTTATTTGCATGTTATTATGTGAATGAGTATTTCAGCTTGGCTATCACAACTCACAAGTGATTAGGGCTACAAACACAGGAACAACCCAATCAGCCTGTATTGGTGAGCTAAGAGAGGATTTCACACAACGGATGCTTTGCTGGGCCAGCCCCTTGTTGCATGATGTTCTTCAGATGGATTCTCTCTTCATTGGTGGGATACCCTTTCTGCTGCCTTCTGCATGATCACTTATTAAACATTCAACATCAATGGCTGCCTCCAGTTGCTAAACTTTACAACTGAGTCTTAGCAATGAGTTTTCCATACTGTCCTGGTGCCAAGCATGCAAACCTGAAAATAAGGTGATGGGAAGCATGTTTTGGCCTCCACAGAGCCTGAGCATTTTTCTCTTGAACTAGGAAGTTCTCATACTGTAAGTGCCTCCTACTCCACAGCCACATTCATTGGTGCAAGGGTGAAGTGAGAGCCACCAGCTCTCATCAGAGGCATGGAAAGAAAATGACAGACTTCAAAATTATACACATTATTGACTGCAGTTCAGAGAAAGAAAGACCCTCAAAGAGTGAGCAAATCAGCAAGGGGAAGCATAGATCAGACCAGATCCAGAGGCAATGTCAATCAGCTTTGCCATCAAGTGGGACCAAATGTATTTATGTCACCTATGAACCTAGTCCGTAACAGATATGGCCTTCACAATGACCTGCAGTCTGGAAAAATGAGTGTCCTCCATAAGGGAGCAAAACACTGGTGTAAAGGCCAGCCTTTTCCTCCCAGAAATAGTCATCCCAATTGCTTTGGTAACCAACCACTCCTTCCCCATAGATATGTAGCTCTTCCCTCCCCACTTCCTCTGTCTCAGAAAAACATGGCCAATGAAGGTGCAAGTATGTCCCAAAATGTGGCTTAGAAAAGCATCAGCCTCTGGTAACAAACAAATTCATGGTGGTCCCATGACAAACAGATGTCTGGAAATCAGACAGAGATAGATTGAACATGTGCCCTTCCACCGCTTCCATAAATGCTACTTCCAGGCCTGTCCCAGCTGCAGGGTCCTCCATCCTCTTTTTAAGGAAAAAAGACAACCTTCATGCTTGGCTGGCTCTGCAAGATCTCTCTTTGTGCTTGGGACAGAGATCATTAAACGGAGCAAAGGACCAGGATCCTTAGCTTCAGCGATTTCAACAATTCACCCTTCCGTATTCCCAGCTGAGTAGCTGAAAACACACTGAAAACTAACTTAGCTGGGAACATATTAAAAGAATATTTCAATTGTCTTTTTTTTTTCCTTTTTTGCATGGTACAAAGCCCATGTAGAAAGAGGTTTCCCAGCATAAGTCATGGGATAGGCTAACAAGACAGGATTTCCTGATGCAGGCCTCCAGAGCCCTCTGCAATAGGCAAAAATCTGGTTTATAGCTTTTCTGCCTCTCCAGGTCTGCCCCTTTTCAGGACTCAGTTACTTCTTTTACTTACCTTCCCCTTCTGCTGTATCTCAGTCTTTACAGATTCGTCTTCAATTTCAGCTGCTTCATCTTCATCAGAGACATCCTCAGCCTCCAGGTTGTTGTTCCCATTTGTTCCGGTGAGATCCTCCTGCCTGCTCAGCTTCTTGCCTTTCACAAGGATCTTCCCTTTCAGTTGCTGCACAAGGAAAAGTGGATGAAATAGCTGGTGATTAGAAAATATTCTGGTCTGCCCTGAAGGACCAAGGATATAACAGCTCCTTAGCTGCAACCAGCGCCAGGGTTGCATCAGTCACTGGTTATTACGAACAGATATGAATAAAAAATAAGTCTTTTTTTTTCCACTGAGGTTTTGCCCTGCCTCTGGCCAGTCTCTGAAACCACAAGCCATGAGTCTGAAAACCCCAGATAGCCCACAGATTCCCCTCTGATACAGAGCTGTCCATCCCCTCAACTAGACAACTTGAACTCTCGTCCTATTAGAGGCAATAAAAATATACTATTTTTTTTCAAAACTGAATGTGGTGCAGCAAACAAGGCCAAGCCTCGAAGCCTAGAGGTCAGGACTCATGGGACCTATTTGCAGCACTGTTTCTGCCCCTCAGTGTGGCCCTGTTATTTAATCTAGCACAGTCTCTACAATGTATGGTTATAAACAAGAAGCACAACTTGGGAAACGGTGAGATCCATGCAGGGACTGAAGCACTGCAGCCCTCTGCTCCACTAGACGTTTTAATGGGGAGAGAGGTCCATTAATTTCTGGACAGATGCATCGTGCATAGCAGACATGGGATTTTAATATATAAAGGATCTTGCAGATGAAACCTTTGGGTGCTGACAGCCTAAGGAAGAGTTCTCAGACCCTTCCCAAAGATACCTCGTCTTCTGAAAAGAACCCATCCTGCGACTGCTACCATGGTGCAACACTAATAATAACCAGCGTAACACAGTTGACTGCTGAGTTAATCCAAGGAGCACATTTCTTGTGTTGAATCAACTCTCTCCAGCCTCTTTCAAAGTCCATGTAAAACCTCAGGTGAAGGAACACACCAACAGCGCATGGTTGCTCACAGACCACCATACCACTGAGGTACCTCTTGTGCAAGATCTGACTGTGGGAGGAAGGCTGAAGCCTGGAGAGGGCTGACTCTGAACCCAAACAAGGCAGCAGCAATGTTGGCATCAGGGAGCAGCACTGAGAAGGGTGACTGCCTGGGTGCAATCTCCAAGAGATCAGATTATGCTACAAAATCTGTTAATTCAGCCCACAAGCACCCCTAGATCCTGCAGCTTCCAGTGAATTCAGTGGGAGATTTGCTGCCACATGGATGTGTTCAGTAATCCTGGCTTTGGAGGGTGCTAGTTATTCCAGAAAAACGCAATCTCAGAATTTGCCAATACAATGCCATGTATATCCTTGTTTATCCTACCTGAAAGTTTCTTGCCCCTACTAGCAACCTGAAAGCCATGACAAGGTCTGATTTCCAGTTTTCATCAGTGAGATTGAAAGATTTGTAAAGTGATCCACCACATCAAACTTTCTGTGCCTTCAACACCTCCTTTAGAGTCAACAGAGAGAACTAAACACTCCCAGGGTGTGATTCTTCTTGACTATTTAGACAAACACTTCCAAGGACATGGGCCACACCTCCAGCTCCCCTGGTTGTATTAACTAGTTCTCAAAAGGAGCCCAAAGTGAAGTGCTCACGTTCATCGATATACAGGGTCTGAGCACTGCCACCTTATATCCCACTGTCATGATGAAGACATCCATCTCCCCAGACTTCTGAGGAGCTGTGAGGATTAACATGTTCACATTCATAAGGAGATGTGCAGACCAGATGCACTAATTGATATCACATCTCCATCTGTGTATGTCGTTCAGCCTAGTTGTAAATTGGAGTGTTTGTTGCAGGGTTTAACAATGAGCGGCACCACAGGATGAAGAGAGTCTCCAGAAAAGGGGAAGAAACACATTATCAAAGGAAGTTTTGAGAGAATTGAGAGAAACAGCTCAAGACTTCAGCCAAGAAGATGCACTGCAGACAAGGCTGACACAAGCTGGGCGAACCTTGGAGAAAGGCATGGATGTAGAGTTAGGCATAAGGCAGAGGGACTTGAAGCCACATTCATGCTGAGTGTATGAAGCAAAAGTAACCCTTCCCGGGCAGATGGCTCCCAGGGTCCACTGCTGACTTAGCGACCTGTGACTGAACCTAGTCTAGACTTAGCTGAGATGAATCCGGAGGTGTTTACTGCCTTGCCGTGAGCACAGGTCCGAGCATGTCAGTCACCCTGCTGCTCAGATCAGTTGTGCTGAGCCCTGCGTTGCCACTGCCATAGTGGAAATGGTTCCTGAGCTTCATAGCTCAAAGTGATGTCAAATGGGGGGACTGGACACAGCAGTGTATGTGACTGATGGGCCAGCTGGTGGGACACTGGAGGTGTGGGATGGGAGAGGCCCACTGCCTCTCCCAGCTGGGGGGCTCATGGTCCTAAGGGTCACCTACCAAGACAGGCCTGTTAAACCCAAAGCCACTGTCGTAAACACAGGTGTCCAGTAACAAAGAGCTGGAGGGGTTTCAGATATGCCTGATACACTGAATAGTTGCATGCACTTTTGGCAGCTGTTTTAGTCTCTTTCCAGGGCTGGGTTTTTGAATCATTTCTAGCTGGGATGAAGGGAGAAGGGGAAGGGGCCCTGGCAGATCCCTGTGCAGATCAGGGATGGGGCAGAAGGGACTGCAACAAGCAACCAGCAGCAGAGATTGCAGCCACTCTTCCCTACAACACTGGAATTGCCTGGAGCTTTTTTGTGGCTTTTGGCCTTTCATCCTATAGACCTTTAATCTACCATGGGGGCCTAAAGACAGCAGCTTGAGGGAGGTATTTAGATGCTCTGTGTAGTTCAACACTGCTCCTGAATGGAGCCTGATAAATCAGATGCCTGCCCTGGGCTGTGTTATGAATCGTTAGCATTAGCGTGAATCCAAACTGTATTGATCTTCCTTTAATTACTGACACTGCCCTGCTAACACAATCCGCAGCAATTCTTCACCTGTTTTTATTTACAGTCTTTCAGTCCTCTTCCCAGTTACAGGTCCCACCCTTTTTCTAATATAAAAAATAGTACGTTGATCCAGGCTTCCTCATGCCAGCTTCACAGGAAGTGGAAAAACGAAGAGGCTTCTGGTTTGGATTTTTTTTTTCTTAATGTTTCACCTTCAATGTATTTTTCAAAAAAATTTAGCAGTTCAGCCCTTTGCACTCTCCTAGTTCACATAGCAGGAAAGCAGAGAAAAAGTACAGGAGGGAAAAGGATAGGTTTTGCTACATTGGCAATTTTTCTCCCTTTTAGCTAAATGGGTCAGCCCCTCCAATGGAGCATACCAGCCCAAATCCATTCACTAAGGTAGATATGGGCCCTTTAGTTCCAGCTGTGGCCACGTGTCCATCTGGGCAATCAGAGCAGGAGGTTAGATGAGCACAGGAATGGGAAAAACATCTTTGGGAAGCTGGGGTCATTCCCTTACACACACATCACACATTACTTTCCCTGGCATTGCTCCTTTCTTCATATCGTTCCCCTGGTCACACAGCAGTGTTTTGAAAAGCCATCAGCAGCTTTCCTGATCCTGCACCAAGTATAAATAGCAAGCCAGGTGACACTGAAGACTTTGATTTTTCTAACTCAGTAACAGCCTGCAGAGTCCTGTCTCCATGCTGGGTGTATCCTCACCCTGGGAGAGTGACTTCTTCAATGGAAGCACCTTGTCTGCCCCAGTGCAAAGGTCCTGCTGAAGCAGCAGCATTAAAAATTATGATTCATCCTAATTTATTGCACTGGTGCCTAGGGACTAACCCAGATCGGCTTCGCTCTGTGCTAGGCATTGTATCAAGTGAGGCACAACACTCCCAAACAAAAGGGAAAAGTCAGAAAGGGGAAAGAAGAAAAGGGAGAGGGAGAACAAATATAGAAGATATTTTGGGTGGATCATTTTCCTCTCCTTTCTCCCCTGCTGACTGCCAGCTTTATCCCACCCACAAACTCCTTCCAGCTCTGGCTAGGCATGCTTATCCAATTTTGGGCAAATTATTTCTTTAGCAAAGAAATGCAATTTAAAGGGAACTGCAGCTATCCACACAGAAGTGTGTTTCTGCAAAGTGCTTAGAGAAAACAAAGAAAGAAAAAACAAACCAAAGGGTGGAAACAGATGAATGTTTCATTTTGGCTTCTGTTTTGGATTTTTTTTTTTTCATATTAAGATTCCACTTCCAATTTTTTCTAATTGTCAGCTAATGATTATGTAATGTCAGTCCACTGTTGAGGGCTATATATCTCCTTCCCCCTGCAAGGTCCAAGCTCAGCTCCCAGCTCCACAGCTGCCCTGATTCATGGGAATCAAAGGGGCATCTCCACACAGCCTCAGGCCTCCCCTTGTCATCCATGGACATCTGCATCCCCCCACTAGGCCATTCTCAGTGGGAGGACACTTCGTGCTTGATACAGTTTTAGGCTACTTGTCCTGGTTTTCCCCTTGAGTTTTGAGGAGTAAGCAATCACAGCTATTCTTCCAGCCCTCATTGCTTCCTAATCAGCAGTCTGGATCTCCACAGTAGAGCACTCAAGGCATTAAACCAGGAGGGGAGCATATGCTACAACCCTCAGCACAGAGCAAAACATCTCACCCACCATGAAATCAGGCAGTGTCCAGTCTTGCTGGATTAAAAACACAGAGATACTTTGTAGTCACTCCTTGTGGTGCTCATCTTCCCTGCATGTGCAGCAACCTAAGAGTGCTTCAGAGGATTAGCCTGAAGAAGGTCATATTCTCTTTTGGGTGCGGGTAGCAGACACAAGACAGACAAGATTCAGCTCCTCTGGGACAAACCAGAAAAGCAACATCCTCATGGGATGAAGGACATTCCCTGGCCTTGGTAAACAGACCAGGAATGTCCTCAGTCCTGCAGGGATGTCTCCTCTAAGACTTTAAAGAACAAACAAGGAACAACAGGGCATTTTGTGCTTCATGTGCAACGGCCACTCCTAGATAATCCTATTTCTTATTCCACCAGTGCCCACAGACAGTATTTGTTCCTCAGCAAGTACAATTCCCACCAGCCCTCAGGCATATTGTCCACTACTTGGCACCCAGCAAGAAGACAGAAGAAGTCTTGTCCCACCCTCAGAAGGCAGAAAGTGCTAGAGTGGCCTTGCTCACCTCTGGGGAGGGAAACTGGGATTTGTTTCCATCAACTGGGGCAACCAAGAGCATGTCCTGCAGGATTGTCGTCATGTGCTGAGCCATGACCTTCTGCTGGTCGACACTGCAGTGGTTCTCCAGGGAGATGATGACAGGGTACGGCGAGGTCTAGAACAAGACAGCAACATACATCATCAGTGACCTCTGCAATTTCACTAGTCTATAGCAACTGATATAAACCGCAGTGCTGTTTTCTCTGGAAATGAGTGTGTCAACAGTAGGGTCTAGTATTCTGCTAAAATGAGCACTTGTTAAAAATGGACAAATTTAACTGTGCAGTAGCTACTCAGATATCTGCTGATGCCTTCTGGAGATGATGACTCAATGGACAGGGTACCAGGCTGGGTCAGGATGCCTCCCACAGACTTGCTGGGGCACTTTGATGAGACTCCCTGTGCCTCCACTCTCCATTTGCACTGTGGGTCAATAGCACCTTCCTACCTCAGAGGAATTACTGGGAAGAGAGGCTTTGAAATCACTGGGTCTGCTCAAATGCTTAGGTGGCATGAATCCTTCCTCCATTCGTGCATAGGCCCGATCTGGTTCCCTGTGTGCCCCCCTAGTCATTTTGTGTGCTGAAGGCATTGTGATTGTCACTGCTTTATAGCCCCAAAGGAAACTTGATACCAGCTCTCAAGTGCACTTAAGGAAAATAGCAGAAAGCCCAGGGAGTCTGGACAGAACCAAGGTTTTTTAAAGGCTACTGGCCCAGCACTGCCATAAAAGATGCCAGACCTGCACATTCCTTTTAAAGCAGAGTAAAAGCAGTCCTTCACATCAGTTCCTCCAAAACAAACACATACACATGGGTTCCTCTAAACTAGGATCAGACCCTGAGACATCAAAGCCACACAAATCATAGAATACTTTGGGTTGGAAGGGACCTTTAAAGGTCATCTAGTCCAACCTCCCTGCAGTGAGCAGGGACATCTTCAACTAGATCAGGTTGCTCAGAGCCTCGTCCAGCCTGACCTGGAATGTTGCTAGGGATGGGGCATCTACGACCTCTCTGGGCAACCTCTTCCAGTGTTTCACCACCCTCATTGTGAAACAGTTCTTCCTTCTATCTAGTCTAAATCTACCCTCTTTTAGTTTAAAACCATTACCCCTTATCCTATTGCAACAGGCCCTGCTGAAAAGTCTGTCCCCATCTTTCTTATAACCCCCTGTTAAGTACTAGAAGGCTGCAATAAGGTCTTCCCAGAGCCATCTCTTCTCCAGGCTGAATAACCCTGTTTGCGTTTCCCACCATGTATGCTCAAGATATCGGGCATTATTTTCATTGCAGTGGGGTCCAGGATGCAGCTGTGCTGGTATAGATTCAAACTCATCTCAGACAGTGCCCTGCCTGTCCAGCAACTCCCAGGAACGGATCTCTGCAGAAAGCAGAACATGGGTGCCCAGACAGAAGGGCATATCTTGTACCCATGACAAATGGTAAGGTGAAGTCTTCATTGTTTATGCTTTCTGCTGGGAGGGCAGAGACCTGCTATCCATCTTGGATTGTGCAATATGAGAAATCTTAGAGGGTCCCTTGTCCTTACTTTGAAAGCATAGTTCTTGATGGCCTTAATGACATCACTGAAGAGGATCTTGGAGGTGAGAGTGTAGCCATGATAAATGACGGGCTCCGAGTTGGGGCCATCCCAGCAATCCAGTTCCACACAGCGGCAGCCTTTGGTGAGGGCTCTGGAAACAAAGAAGGGACCTGGTTGGGTTCTAAACCTTCTGCTCCATCTCAAAATGAGGGTGCATCAGGCACAGGTATTGCCTGGCAAGGCTGATGGGAAGTTTAGGGAGCAAGGGAGAAAAGAGGAGCTTGGAAAAACAGGAAAGCAGATGGAGAAAGGATGGGATCATGAGAGTTCAGGGTCAGCAGAAAGAGCTCAAGGTTGAGCAAGGAAAACACAGTGGGATCTGAAAAAGGAGGTAGTGAAAGTCCAAAGTAAGAATTATCCATAGAAGACGACATAGTGAGTGCCAGATGAGAAAAGACACTCATGACTGTGCCCCAAGTCTTTTCCCAAAGATGGTAAAGAGAAGAGAAAATCAAGAGTGGCTGCACTGGAAGAAAGATAGTAAGACAGTCAGCCTTAGAAGCCAGGTCATGAAGCCTGGATTATGTGACTTCTTCAGCTAGACCTGATAAGACGTGAGAGATGAATCCTCAGAGCTGTCAGGGACGGACCTGTGGGAACTCCACCACAGCTGAGGAGGCTGCTGAGGGCCAGTTTCCCAAACTGAGTCTACAGACTGAATTTCCACTTGAAATTCCTGCCTCCACATATCCATGCTTTCATTTTAATTTACTTTCAAATGTAGGTTCCCCCTGTACAGACTTCTCTGTCTAGGAGGTGATCTTGTCTCTTTTACAGTAATTCCCTGTATGTTTCAGATAACACAACTCCTTTAACTCTTTGCAAGAAGAATAATGGGATTTTTTTTTTCAACCAAAACATAATTCTGTAATTTTAAGATACTGTAAGAGGAATTCAAACAGCTACTGAAAAGCAACTTATGCCAGATTTCACTCTCTACTCTTTTGAGCTTGTGACTCTAGACAGCCATTGTTCCCCAAGAATCAGATAAGTAATAAACAAAGACAGAATTGCAGTCACTGGCTTGCTTATAAGGAAACACTGTCTCACTTGATAAAAGTACAGGTCATAGCAGAAGTAATGTAAGGTGGTTATGCAAGTTAGTAAAGGCCACTGCAAACGTGTGGCCATGAAACATCAGACAGCAGTCGTTGTTAAAGGCAGAAATAGGCAACACCTAATGTTCTGTCCAGGGACACCATGGGAGCATCTGAGCTGCTAAAGAGGGACCAGGCATAAGCTTCCTGATCACCCACACTGCTCCATTAGCTCACATCCCACCTCCTTGTTTTGGACCGCTCCAACTAGGTGTCTTCAAAATAAACCCCAGCATGGTTCTAGGGATAGTCCATGCCTAGATAGTCCATAGGATAGTACCAGGGGGTACTCCCAAAAGGCAGTACCGATTGTAAACATCATGACAGTATGCATCATTTTGGCTGCTTCCAGTCCTTACACAGTCCTACAGCTCTGTCCCAGAAATCTTTGCACCTTGTAAGCTCCTTGCACTCTCTCATGCCATATTCTGGGGAATGCAACATACCCCCTCAGCATCATGCTTTGAAAACACCATGCTAGAGGGCTGCAATCCAGCCTCCACATGATTGCAGATATTTTAAACCACTCCCAAATGTACTAATTATACATCTTACAGTCAGGTGGACACCACATGGGGCCCAGTGGAGACCCACATCGAAGTTCTATGAAAAGGGGGGCCTTGCCCAACCTGTTTGAGAAACAGCTAACCCTGATGTGAACATGGGCCAGCGCACATTACATGGTCTTGGGCTGGGAGATTGCTTCTTGGTCCTCTTGCATCTAGCAGTATAGGTGCACCCTATGTCTTCTATAAGAAAGAGGTCAACCTCTCACACATACATAAACACACACACACAAAAATACACACACACATATACATTACCTGATATAGGCTTCTGTGCTGCTTGGACCTGTGAGCTGGTCTTCCATAAGATAAGTATTATGTGAGGATGACACCAAGTAGTGACTGAGAGGTTGAGTCATGTCCTGGTAAACTTTACGGTGGGAGGAGTTGAATATATTCCCATCATCGGAGAGTAGGTACATCAAGAAACCATCTTTGGTCATGGCGTTACCCCTTTTGGCTGCCAGACAAATAGACAGAAACCCCATACTGAAAATCTGACACTACCAAGCTGTGCCATCATCTTCACCATGATGCCTGCTGCTCTCCAGAGGATCTCAAAGGCAGAATGTGCTCCCTAGGCATTCAGCTAATAGTAAAGATATTAATGCTGTTCAGATGATGATGACAGCTTCATCTGCCTGAAAATGCTTTTAATACCCCTTCACAAGAATGGCTTCTTACGACACTTGCTTTCCTTGATAACACCTTAAAAGTGTCAAAGACAGCACTTACCTCACCTGTCTCCAGAGATACAGAGTATAAAAATCTCCATTTCAGCACTTCAAGTTTCCTTCATGCCAACACAGAGAAGTTGTCAGATGTCTAAACATAGCCAGATAATTCCTGTCTAGATTATCCAATGAATACATGACTTGCAAAGAGTAAATGCTAAAATTATCTAACTTTGGGGAGAAATTAAGATCTTCCCATCTTGAGGGACTGAGCTAGATCCCAGTCTAATCCCTAAGTGTGACATCTGCAAAGCATTGTTCCTCTCCTGAAGGTACACCAGGATAGTGCAAAAACAGCCTATGATCCTGTGTTCGTTTCTTGAACATGTCCTCCAAGGTGCTCCAGAATGGCAATTCACTTAATTTCTGAGCAGAAAGACAGTTCTGTGATTGCTCTCCTAAACAGCTGTCACCTTCTTGGCCCTCTACTCAGAGATCTCATCACCTGATGGCTTTTCGGGTGCCCACATTCAAAAACAACTGCCCCGATTCCTGCTTCTGGAGAACAGAAATATTGCTACATTCTTAACCTTGCAAAGCCACAGGAGGTCTTGACATTTGAATAAGCCATCAGAGCCTTTCCCTCAGGAATTTCAGCACCCTCTAGCCAACTCTTTATCAGCTTCTCTCCAGTTGCTCAGTGTACCCAAGCCAAAATTGAAGAACATTATTTGCCAGGCTCTCCTGTGCCCTCCTCTCCTAGAGCTGCTAATGTTCCCCTAGAAGACTGGTGGTTTGGAACGAGCCGCAGGGAGAAAATAACACACATGGCTGCAGAAGAAAGCAGCAGTAAAGCAATTCATAGTTCATCAAGAAAGCAAAATTTTTAGCCAAACCAGCCAGAGTTTCCAACCTACCTCTTTCATTGGGCTCATATCTCTGAATTAAGGCAGGGGCAGCAACAACAGCATCTTCTTCTTGCTGCGTCTCATAGAGGAACCTCACCAGGTTCTGGCAAGACATGAACCCTTCTGCATCCGAGTACTTTTGGAAGATCTTGTCTATTTCCTTCCTCTCTGTCAGTATCTTGTAAAACTCCTCTATCTCATCATCCTCCAGAGCCTCTGTTTTGGACTTGTCACAGTGCTGTAAACGTAGAGGGGAGAAGGAGTGAAAACCTTCTTTCCTTCTGGCATATGCCAGCCGTAATCTGCACCAGGGCTACACAACGCAGAACACAAAATAATTGGAAATGGTTACTGGCCAGTGAATGAGAAGCACTTGGTCAACAACAATGGTTCTCATTGACAAGGCCAACAGTCATATAACAGTTACAATTATTATTATTTACTTATATTATCAGTGTGCTGAAAAGCACCGGGCATGGCCTTGAGCCCCACTGCACTGTGTACTGTGCAAACCGTAAGTTAAAAAGACAGCTCCTTGACAATCTAAGTACAAATCAAGGCTGAGGAGAAATGTACCTCTTGATCTCAAGAGGCAGAGGAATATAGGGAAACAATTAACTCAGTGCATCTTAAACTACTGATAGAGACTGTGGCCCTAATATTCAGTAAGTAAAGTGAAAAGGGCCTGCGATTTGATCTTAGTGGGTTTGAGCTCAGGCCTCAAGAGACTGTCAAGGCTCGTAGTAGGGCTGGTTGCAAAGATGGCATCAAAACTGGCTTAAAAAAAAATCCTGCTAAACATATGCATGTTTAGGTATGAAAAATTCCCTCTTTCCATGGAACTTTCCCATCCTCATTCAAAAACCACCAAGTAACAAAATCCCCACAAAATTTGAAATCAGGTATCAACTTCTCAAGGAGCTGCAAATTCAAATTCTTTGTGCCTCCATGTTTCTCTGTGGTTTGAACTTCTCCACTAAATAACAGCTCTGACAGAGAATCACAGTCAAGAACTTGGGTGACCATGAAAGATTCGGAGTTTAAGGTATACATGTTAGTGTCCCCGTGAAGGACAACAGCTCAATTCAATTTTTCACCAGAAATTATAATTTTTCTGTGGCAAATACTGATATGAATTTTATTGTTTGTTCCTAGCAGAATTCTTCACGGAAAGGTGAACAACTATTTTTCAGTCACCTCCGGGATGTAAACCTCTGCATTAAATATGGGCTGAGCAAAACAAGCTACAATGCAAAGCAAGAGCCTATCTCAGAGGAATCACTTATGGGCAGGGAGCATTACACCGCTTCCAAGTGTTTTTCCCTGCAAATTTCAACAATCAAGCCACTTCTAGTTAATGTCTTCTTATTATGATGATTCCCTCTCCCTCAATATCTAAAGCAAGCAAACAGGTGCTTAACAATGGTGTCCTCATCCCATACAGCCCATTCACATCTTACATTTCAGGTAAGTTTGAAAAATCTAATATTTGGCATGGACGTCAAAACCCCTGCAGGACATGGCTTGCCTTACTTAGTCTTTGGCCTAAGATCTTCTCTTCTTCAGGCCTGTGCTCCAGGAACAGAAAGTGTGCTCCAGGCCACTCAGAGGCTATGGTGCATTTCACTTCACCCTTGCTATGGACAAGTTACCATCAGTTACAACAACTTAGCTGACAGATAGTAACTTGTCAAACCAGAGGAATTAAATTGCTTTCCATCTTTGATCTTTTATGATAGATAGAGTTATTGTCTTGGGTTTTATGACCAAAATGCATGTCTCAGTTTAAACAGTCATCATACCAATCTCAGCCTAACCCTGCTAATGATCTCAGTGATGGCCAAGGTGGCTTTGGCAGTGCCCCAAGCAAGATATAATGAGGGACCTTCACCCTCTGCAAATTCTCCACTGGAGTTCTTCACTATCTGTTTGTGGTGCACATATAAAACAAAAAAAAATTATCATGATGCACAGCATTCCACAAACTGAACCGACAGCAAAAAGTTCAACTTGTCCTGACTGTAGAATCTGCTGCATAGAAGCTATATTCATTCATGGAGGGGACATCTGTGAAATGCTCAGTACTACAGACACCTTCAAATTAGGTCTGAGCAGTCTAGGAACTGTCTTTTCCTTGCTGCCTTCCATGTCTATCATCCTGTGCTGTGGCTTTAGCAGATCTCACAAGCTAAGCTAAGCATGACAGTTAGCAATTGAAAAAGGAATATAAAGAGGGAAACCAACTGGTGGAGACTGAAGGGTTGCCATGAATGACAGACGTCCTTTTCTTTAAGACACAACAGGGAAAATGACATGATATCACTTCTAGAAAACTGGCGCTATAAGTGATGTGCCTTGGGAAGTTTGTTCATTAGTGGCCTTTGAAGGTTGTGATAGAAATAGGACAATAGCATTGGTATCATAGTCATATTCCAGGACAGATCAGATGCACAGTATAAAAGTGAGCTCCTTCTGCTTGGGCTACAAGACCTCCAAATTAGAAAGATACTCTCAACTTAAAATACTGTGTTTTACCTCACTTGCATGGATCATCAACCTTGGCCTGCCAGAAAAAGTCAGAACCCTTCTGATGCACCAGAATGATTATTCAGGTTGAAATTAAGTGAGCAATTAAAGGAGCTTTGCATAGTTTCTGTGCATTGCATTGCATATGTCTTACTCAAGAGTGTCTAAAACCTAGATGTGGACACAGAGTTATGTGATGAAAAGCAACAATAATGTGAGAACATGCCCCGTAGCTCTCTCTTGAATCCTTGATCACCCTTCCTTCCTGTGACTAAATGAAGAAAAACTCACTAAGACAGAAAAGATCACCCTTTTAATATGATGTAACATATCTCAGTCCATCTAAGTTTAGGTAGTATGTAAACTGAAAATGTAATTGCTTTAGGAGCAAGACAGACTCTTATGAAGGCAATTCAGCTCACAAGTGATCTGAATTAACCTCCAAAGAGCCTCTCTTTCCAGTGGCTATACAGGAAACTTACAACAATTACATGTCTAATGAGGATACTTCAACTAGATCCCTGTATTTAGATGGGTTGAATCAAGGTTTTGTAATTACTTGGAGTCCTTAAGCAAAAAGAGAATTGAACTTCATCAAGTGTCCACTCCTAGAGCTCCCTTGAAACTATTGCAATAGCAAAAGAGGTTCATTGAATGAAGAGGAGACTGTGCCTCTCAAAAACAGGGTGTCTTTTTAGATGTTTGAAGATGTAGGGAGTGATTCATCTGACATATGTGAGATGAATGTATGCTTTAGGATGAGGTGAGTCACACCCCAGTCTCCATTATTGGCTTGACCTACTCAGACTGCAAAGGAAGTGTAAGTGTTGGTGACTACTTCCAATGTAGATGTCTACAGTGTAGACATCTAACTCAATCAGAGGAATCCCAGCCTTACTGCAATTCTTCCAGGGTCTTCCTGAGCAGGGAATAAAGCATGGGCTATACAGCCAGAGTGGGCAGTATATCCGTAAGATTTTGCAAGCTGAAATTCTTTAAGATCTGCTAATGACCTTCCCCCAATTATTGCAGAGTTACCAGAGAGACCTCCATAAAGCAAAGATTAGGAAACTTGTACCTCCTTTGGGGGAAGGTCCTAGTGAGATCTTGCCAACCTTCCTTGCTATCTGCTTACAGGAAGGAGCAGGAGAACTACTGCCCAGTGTCCAAAACCACCCACATGTTTACCACTAATCAGAAAAAGCATTTCTGAAACTGCCCACCCATGAACTCAAATCCTGCTTCAAACAGGATGGAAGTTTGGAAATTATCCAGATGTTTTATCTCATCTCAGCAAACCAAAAGCTTAACAACTGAGAAATTTTCATCCCTTTCTTATCTGCTGATAGGCTAAGGCAGCAAGCTGAATCTTGAGAATTTAGAAGTGTATGTCCCTGAGCAGATGAAATACGCCTTCGGCTATTAAATCAACCAGACTGGTCCAGGCTTGGGTGCAGTGTTGCATATCTATCATTAATCTGCTTGGGGTTTTTTTCTAATTTGGATTTTCTTTTTGTTTACACCTGTCACTTTGCACTCTCCTACTCTGAGAAGGTGAGGATCTGGGTTCATAATTGTAATCAAACCAATTTCAGCCAGACTTAGGCATTGACATGTGGTGTGGTATGCAGAACTCCTGAAACACCTGGGACTCAAAGTGCACTTGCACTTTGCTTCTCGCTTTTTCTTACATTATCGATGTTTGCATCCCATCTTCTCTGAATCCTGGCAAAACTGGATTTCAATGGTAAAGAAAGACCTTAACAGACCTTAATCAAAAGCATTGTGCTGTCCTAACTTAGTTGTTAGAGAGAATCTGCTGAGCACCAAAAACCAAGAGTCCTTCCTTGGTATGCTAGGAGTTCACTTTAGCTTAAGTCTCCAATCAAAGCTGAAAGCTGTGCGAGACCTTGACCTCAGCCAACAGCAAGTACTTTATCTGCTTGCTCTCATTACCTGGAAAATCTTCTTGGCATGATAGTCATCAACTTCAATGTTCACTTCTTTCAGGAAGTTCTTGAGCTCTTTCAAGCTCATCTTGTTGTCTTTGTTTTTATCAGCTTTCCGCAGGCAGGTATGAATCCAGCTGCAGGATGATGTAAGGAAATCTTTCCAGGTCAATGCCTAGCCTAAATACCATCCTTCTGCTACCCATGGTGGGGGGGAAACCTCTTCTAAAGACTCTGAACCATGTCTCCAGATGCTGTAAATCAGCATGCCACCACTGAACAGCTTATATCATCTCACCTTCTGCTCTGAGAGAGCAAAATGGTGCTTTGGCAGAAGCAAAATGCTCTGCAATACACGCAGTCATGACCCAGGAGAAGCTTTTCACCATCTGGCCAAGGCTGGATCAGCTCTCTTTACCCTGTAGGAATTTCTGGCCACAGACACATCTCAAAAAAGTCTGATTTCTCTTTTATGACAGAAAGTGCATTCAGCTCCAGACTGTTAAAAGGAGATAGAGGAGGGATGACAAGAGCTCCCAGGTGGGGTAACCTGATTGTTAAAGATTTGGTCAATATTCAGTATACCAAGCTGAACATTGAACAGGGATTCTCCAAAAGAAGCATTAACGTTAATTTTTCAACTCACCTTCACCTTCTGTATTTATTTAGGGTTTTCTACCTACCTGTCTTAAGAACCTTGTTGTGAGCAGAATCAAACCAAATTTTGTGGATGTCGGCTTCCCCTTGTGTAATGCACAGGATCTATTCCTGTTATCATGCTGTGATCATAGTTCATAAGAGCTTGGTTTATAATAACATTAGTATATCTATGGATCTGGAGTAATTACTATAAAAAACAAGCTTTTTAATGTGATGCCAGTTAATTTGAACTGGGTCTCCTATGTTCTTGCACTCTCTTAGGAAAATAATGTTAGACAGTTGAGATACCTTGCAGTTTTAAACAACAACAAAAATACTTCTCGCACTAGGGAACTGTCTGTCTCTAATATGCTTTACTGACAAATAAAGACCCAGAAAAATCTCCTATTTTTTGATAGAAAGATGATAGATGTAATAATTTGATCTCCACAAATGTAATCTTCCATGTCTTGCATAGGAAGCATTGCTTCAAATTCATTCCAAAAATATCTTTTTAAAATGCCCAGTCCGGATGTTAAGTGGAGTAAACCTCAGGATTATCAAATACCAGCTGAGGCATATAATGCCGTAACATTTTAACTGGGCCTTTCAGAACAACCCCAAAAAAGGGCATTAACTGACAACCTTAGGGGTTGTAGACATAACCCTGAAACAGAATATTCACCACACCTACCACTGCATTCAAATATTTCCAAACTATGGATATATGTGTAAACTGTTTGTAAGTATTGTTTGTCTCATGGAAAGTTGAACTTTCTGCCTTTAAAAATCTTGGCAGGTGCTAAGCAATGACCTCACACCGCATCCGTCTTAGCCTGGTAATATTAATGTTCCCTTTCTTTAGACACAGAAACCAAAATAAAGAGAGGCTACATTTCCCCAGCTCCCAAGGACACTCCAGGGCCCTGAACCAGGGTCTGGCTTGGACTGATTCTTCCCAGAAAACCAAATTTGAGTCATGAAGCTCCCATGCACGGAGAATGCTCTGCTGGGAGGACCACACCATCCATCCCAGGGTGGAGAACACCCCCTCCACCAGCTGTTCTGCAAAGAGCATCTGCTCAGCATGTCAACATGGTGCCAACGGCAGTGCCCCTGCACCTCCGCTCCCCTTCACAGCCTGCCGTAAAAATAACAGGCAGGAGTAATGTGCAACTCTAGTGAGCCAAGAGGAAATCCAGTCTGTCACAGCCAGAGATGCACAGCAGGGTTGGATAACACTAACTGTGTGTAGAAACTACTCTTTTTGCTCTAACCACTGCAAAAAAACACCTTTTTTTTAAAGTCTGCAGTCATTTCCACTGATCATGAGCACCGAGAGGTCATGCACATATCCAAAGTCGACTCTGGAAGGCAATATGTGGGCAGTAAAATGCATCTGCAGAAGAGTATGCCCAGGTCCTGTTACATCCCTCCCAGGGAGGCTGAGCAATGCAGGAGGGAAATCAGAACTCACGAAGAGAACAGCCCCACAGCGGGCCCACTTGCTGCAAGGACAAGCAGCAAAGAGAAAAAAAAGAGTCTACAGATAACTGCAGCCCCTGTCTCTCATTTCAGCAAACAGCAGCGTTCAGTCCCCAAAACACCCAAACTCCCCATGCAACTGGTCACCCTCAGGTTTCAGAGAGCTCTAAACAAGCTGGATGAACTAAGCACTTCAACCAAAATTCTTCTCATCTGATGCAAACAGCATTTTGCAGCCCTAGCTGTGTGTCTTCCTTTCACCTTATGCGCCTATTTGGGCCTGGGTGGACTAGGAAAAAGCTGTTCCCATCGCTGTACACATCCGGAGAGAGCCTGCTTCCAGTCTCTTGTTTTTAAAGGATCTGCCAGCTCCGGGGCTACCAGCTTTCTATTAGAAACCAAAGAGGGATGACTGAAACTATCTGGCAGATATCCCATGAATGTGCTCAGAAGAGAAATACTGCAAAACTTCTGGTAAGTGATTCCCAACCAGAAGAAAAGCTCCTACATAAATCCCAGAATCGAAGCAGACTGTGCCACACTACTCAAATGAAAACTCTCCTGTATTTTCTGGTCTGAAGTCTTCCCTGACACGTACCTGCAATACTTGCTAAATAACCTATGCCAGTTTGTTGCAGGGTTCAATCTGAGGCTTAATAAAACAGTACTGTATGTGTAAGAACACCAGAAGTACTCATCAAGCATGTGGGAGTTTTATCTTTGTAGGGATATAGGACTGTAAAGGACACACGAGACACTAAATTGAGTCCTTGCTACCACAGGCAACTCCATCGTATTATTAACTGAACAATCCCCATCTGAAACTATCAAGGTTTTTGCTTTCAATACTTGTTTTCAAAATCTTGCACATTCCTTACTTGCTTTGCAAGGTTTTGGAGGCTGGAAAAGATACACTGCAAGGCCATTCTCCAGTCGTGGGGGACAGGCAGAGGACCCAACACTTCTCCTCATCTACTGACTCTTCCCCTTCTGTGCTCACACATGCAAAGAACACATCTGAGGTTTAAGGAAGATCCGAGTAAGCCCACACTGCCAAGCAAACCCAGTGAAGACAGACTAAATTTAAAATCCCAGGCTTTAATTAAACATCATCAAATTTCAAATGAGAAATCATGCTGTTCTGTAATTCCAGGTTACGTTAAACGGCCTGAGACAATCCCAGATTGGAAGCCAGCACTGCACGGTAATTACTCTTCCAGAAATATGGCTTGCCTACCCACCCTATTTAGCTTCAATTCTGCTTTCCAAAGACGGAGAGGCACTTTTCCATGCTGGAAATTTACAGCCTTCTTCCCTTGCAGATGTCATTGTTATTTTTCCCCCCTTAGCAATCTTGTCTCTTCTTATGGGGAAGTTTTTCAGCAATATATTCAATTTGATACACTCCAAAGACAACTTTCTGTGAGGGCGGGAGAAGCCTTCACATTTAAAAGGAAAACTGCCAGGGTGCAACATTTCCAACAGCATCAGAGTTTCAAGATTTCAACTTGTCTAGAGACTGCTCCCTACCACCATGGACACACAACTGATAACACTGCTGAGGAATGACCTTACAGCCTAGAGCTTGAAAAACCATCCAGAAAGACACTTACAGTGCAGGAGATAAACACAGCATCCCATGCACATCAGAACTAATGGAGCCTGATTCCTATGGCTGTGCAAGTGCTTATTAGACTTCAGAAAATCCACAGAAGAGTAAAGCTTGGTGAAAGCTCAGCATTTATGTGCCATCTCTTTCATCATTAGTACATTATTACTGAGCAGGGAACCCACATGGAGTGAAGGCTTGACTGAGGGCAAGACTCCCTGGTGCCTGCTCAGGTTCAGACTCCAGCTTTGTGATTTTCCCCAGCTCAGGATTTCAAATCTCCCCTCCCACCCACAGATGCTTTGATACTGAATAAGGCATGAAGCTCACACAGCCTTCTCTCACTGAGAGCACTATCTGGTTTCCTCTCTGATAGCTGGATGCCTATCTTTGTGAAGCTTAAAGGAACTTAATATTTTATGACTGCTGTGGCTCTGTCAAATCAGGGTGAAATCAGCCAACAGGTTCATGTGTCATGGTCAGGGCCTCAGACACACAGGGACCGTAAAAATACATCAAAAACTGTACCCAGAGATATTCTCTCTTTTCATATGGATGTGAGACCTGTGGTGACAGAGCAGCTTACTGAGTGAAATGCAGCCCTGGGGAAAATTCCCTGTGAATTCAGCAGAGCCAGGATTTCACCCAATAACTAACTCTCCCTTTCACAACTAATTCACTCTCCTTTCCTGCTCTGCTATGTTCCTTTCTGATGTCTGCATTGTCACTAGAGCAATTGCAAATTCTTTCAGGGGAGAACTTCCTCCCACGCTGAGGCAAATAAGGAGTAATTTCACTAAAGTCAGTGGAGCTACCCCAGAGTAAATTTGGCAGTCAGAAGAGGAGAACCAATTTCCTCGCCTTCTGTTACTGAGAAACTTGATAAACAGTGCAGGCTTTTCATGTCTTGCCAAGAAGTGCCTGTCCTGGAGTTTACTGTATTGCAAGTGAAACAGACCCCTGAAGAATACAAAAAATAATGATTGTTTTATCTGGAGCTCCCTGAAAGAGGCAATTCTTTGCTTAAAAAGCTATGTGAAGCCTGAATCCACTCTTGCTTGCATCACTGTAACACAGGGAAAAAAAGCATTGGAAACCAGGGAGTTTGCCCGGGTACAACATCAGTGTGAGAGAAAACTCAGTGCCCAGGGCCAACAAGAAAAAAGGGGGTTAGTCCACTATCTCCACCCACAGAGAAAGACAAGTGCATCTTTGTGTGTGATTAATCACTTTATAAAGCAAAGGATACTGTTGGAGTTTCTGTTTCTGGTTCATGGAGTTGCTGTGGGCTATGATTTTCCCAAGGCCGGAGATCCAGTGGTTGGCATCATCCTCTGAACTTGCAATGAGGTCCAGGTTTTTCCGCTGGTCTTTGAAAATGATGGAAAAGCAGCGATACTCTGGGACATCCTTGGCGTATTTTTCCATACCTTCTGTTTTATGGCCTGATCTCACATCCCGAATATCTTCAATGGAGACTGTGGAAAGAAAGCAGAGCCTGCTGTCAGCAGGGGTTCAGTCAGCCTTATCTCTGCTTGGTGAGGGATATTAAGAAATTACTCTTTCTCCTTTCCCTGTGACCCCTGGAGGATTCCCTTCATTTCCCCCCCTCCCCAAACTTTGGTACTAAAAAAAGCTCAAATCAAAAGGAGAATAAAGAGTAAGAAATTAAAAAAAAAACCTCAGA